TTTTTTTTCTCTTGTAGCTGCATACTGTGAAGAATTGGAAAAAAAAGTGATGGATTTTTAAAAAAGTTTTCAATTGACCTTATAAAGGTCTGTTTTCTTCTTGTTTAGCAGCTATTATAAAACTATTTTTGTCACTCAAAATAACTGTTCATTGTTGCCCAATTTACTGTATTTTAGTGACTAGAAAACATAAAATTCAGTGCTTAGAAAAATAGGATAATATTCAGGAAAGGAAAATTGGAGAAATAAAAAGCTTTTAAATGGAGTAAAAATGTCATTAGGTTAAGCACAACAAAGTTAAAAGTATTTCTGAAACCGTAACAACAGCTGTACTCACAGTAGTGCAACATATGAATTTGATTTTAGTTTTCAGTTTCTTACTCAAATTTATGCCTTTTATGACTGTAGAGAAATCCTATACTGTTGATTCAAATAAGCCTTAAATTTACAAAACAGCAGTCCGATAGAGTAATAATTTGTACAAAAATTTGGCTTTCATTTGACCAGCGGTCATAAAACAGTAACTAATTCTGTTGCACTGTTTGGGTTTTGAGGATTGTAGACCGATAAATTAAAGCCCGAATGTCAGATTGACTTCGGAACGCTCAGCTTCTCAAAGGAAGCTTTGATTTAAGCTTTAATCCATCGGTTATCAACTTGTTGAATGGAAACAACCACGATAGCCCCATTCAGAACAAATAATTTGAAGGAACTCTGGAGAAGGGAATGCACTTTTCTGTTCTTTTTATGCATGTGCTTGCAAAATACTTAAAATCCTTTAAATTAGGTAATTCTGCCAAAGAAACAGTTTTCCAATTTTAATTTGTCTTGAAAAAAAAGTTTTTTTTATTGAACTTTAATTGGAGTTTTATGAAAGTAATAGACGGCACGCAAATGCTGTTTAGCAGCAGTATCTGTATCTAGACAACATCGTAAAGTGACCAACTAAATTTGAAGTATCTAGCCTAGAAGTAAGCAAGAAAAAAATTAGTAGAGCATTAGTGTACTGAAGAACTAATTTGGTTGTATCTGTTTTAATTTTCATCAAACATCCAAATTTTTCGTTTTTGGCTGTTGAAACTTAACCAGACTGCAACGGTTAATGATATGCGATTCCGGTGGAAAAAAAGAACGAAAAGATACTAAAACTTTATGGTTAAAAAAAAGTATAGACAATTAAACTGAATGATTACTTGAGCCTTTTACAGCAGTAATTAAAGCTTGTTGTTCATTCTAAAATTATTAGGTGCGGTACATATGTGTAATAATTCTCTGCAATATAAATGTACAGAAAAAAATGTGAAAAAAAAATTGAATGCTTGTATGAAAATGATATTAAGTTGATTTTTCTTTTCAATTTTCATCGTTTAATAACTGAACTCCGTTAATCTTTCGATATAGCAAACAGTGGAAACTTATTTGCATACCAACAATGTAAACTTATTGAGCATTTATATGCTAAGATATTATATTCAGTAGAAAATTTTCAATTTTTTTTTTAAAACTTTCATTTTCAGCACTGCAGTATATTTGCAGTCATAATGTCTGCTTATCAAAAAACCGTCAAAAATTTTGTTCTTTGTTAACTATTCATTCAGTTCGAAAAAACACACGTATAGTACAAAGGTTGCGAAAGCTAAATGTGTAAATTGAAAGGTATTTGATTTGTCGTTGAACTTTGTAAGGCGACAAAAGTGATTAATGCCCATATCGCAAATGCACTAATGGACTTGAACTTGTAACCTACCATTCGGCCAACGAGTAACACAAATTACTGAGGAAATGATAGCCCAAAATCTGTCGACCAGGATCCGATCCAAGCACCTGCTGGGTGCCCGCGTTTTTCCCGGCCTTTTTAATTCTGTTATCGATAGTGCAATATGCGAGTCGGCGTCTAAGCTACTAGCCACAAATTTGGGCAGAATTTGTGGAACGTTCAAAGCATTTGTATGGGATGGTGAATTATTCAGTCAGTCGGCAGGTCTGTTGATGTCGTGCAGGGTACGAAGGTTTTAGACGACTTTATGGTGACCGTTAGCCGTTGATTGATGTCGTCGACGGGATACTGCTTGATGCTTCTGCTTAACGCCCTTCGAAATCTATTTTTTCGTTTTGAAGATTTTGAATGGCAGTACGGAGACTTGATTAAAGGGCGGAAAAGTGTTGTTCTTTTTTTTTTTTTTTTT